AAATTTAATCAAGAGAATAACATTTTGTTCATGTTTTCCTACTTTCAGACCTCACAGATGATATGTAAATTGACAATTCTCACTTCAGTAAGTCGGTGTTGATGTGATGATATTTTTGTTGGAGTCTTGCATGGCATATAACAAAACTTGAACCAAACTTACACCTACTGATCCTTGAGTATGATCACAATATTTCTAGAGAAATATACAACTGAGATTGTTTGTAAGAATAAAATTTGTGCTAGATACCATAATAAATATAACATTCTCGTCATATACTTGAACAAGGGATCGCACAATAAAATCGTTTCGATTTGGAATATCTTGTATCGACTAGTATATGATCATAAATCAGACGAAAAAAAAATCCTTTTTTATCAAGTTGTATTAAGAAGTTCTGTTTCAGATGTTCTGACATCATCTAAATGTTTCGGTTTGTCATTATGTTGAAGTATTCCTTTTTGTATCATTATGAAATTGATGATTCCTGAAATTCCTCGATAAAATAGATGAATATTAAACATGATTTCAATTTTCGTTGATCGAACAATGACTTAGAAATGATACAGTACTTTCATAACTTCTCTTTAGCTTCTATTCTTTGAAAAAGTTGTAGTTCATTATGTCAAAGTGTTACACTCATTGAAGGAAAAGAATTGCATCGTGTAAAAACATTGACAGTCATGCACAATAGAAGGGATCCTACGTTCGAAATTGTTATTGTTGATGTGGCAGACAAAAATGTGGAAATATCGTGTCGAATATATATTCGCCAAAAAAAATGAGAAAATGTTACTTTATCACATGTCAGTAGAGATGGATTTGTTGATCCCAATTAAAAAAACGATTCGTATCTGAATTGATCGACAATACTGAAACATGATTGGATACTTGATGCTGATTACTCTATCCAATGACTCCGTCAATCACAGTGATCTGTTCACTGTTGCATCATGTAACAAAGTGAAGATCTTATTGAATGGCAAAGACCAATGTCAAACACTTGAATAATAGCAATATCTTACTCAATTATTGTTTTACCAAGACGTTTTCTGCCAAACACGATGATCAATGATAGTTAGATGCATTAAAAATAGTCGCTTTTGCATCTCTGCCATAGAAAAAACAAAGGAAATACGAATTCATTAATAAGAAAAGATAATAAGATTGATTTTTTACATTCGAGGGTGGGTGTGGGTGTGAGGAGAAGATTAACACCCACACCCACACCCGAGCAAATCGCGTAAGATGATTGTGATTAACATCAATATTTTCAACCGTCATAAAAATATTCTTTCTCAAGATATCAGAACTGACAAGTAAACATCGTTATTGTTTTTGGTGAAAGGAGAAAAAAATAATGAACTTGATTTCTTTTATGATAAAATGTCTATCCAGATCATGCAGCGAAGCGAGATCAAAAAGAAAAAAAGAAGTGCGACAAGTGGAAAAGCGTAAAGTTTTCCATTATGGCATGTATAAAATACCTGTTAATGCGTTTCGTATTTTATTAACTTTATCTTTCTCAATCTTTTTTTTTCTTGCATCAACTCGTTAATGATCAATTCAAGAGTAAATATGATTTTATTATAGAATTGAAAAAACTAAAGTTTCTTCATAGCACAATATATTTAAGCATAAAACCAATTTTTTCTTTTACTTAATAGTCCATACTATGTGGAATTATCTTTCTGTCTAAATGGTACCTCAGCTAAAAGGCGTAATTCAAAGAAACCATATGTACATTTCGAATTTCGAATAACTACGCGATAATCGCCTCTTGAAAAGCGATATCTTAATACAGAAGCATAGCAATTCATTGATGAAATACTATTTCCATCGTCATTTTCAGCCAGAAGTTGTCTGTTATTTTCTGAATAAAGTTCAATCAGAGGATCACCAGCACCCGAGCTTTTCCAATTCGAACATGAAACCCATGTATTGGCTGCTATGGTAACATCAGCAAACGTTGTATTGATAGTAAAACAGAATGTAAATGTTGGATGCTCAACATTTGTATTTAGATTTACAATAGTGTTAAAAGGAAACCATTGATAGCATGCTGGAATAGAAGATACTCTTGACGTTATTGTTTGCGCAGTTGTTGTAGTAATTTTTGATATGATTTGTGTACTTGTCGTCGTACTTTCTACTGTTTTCCGTGCAGTTGTTGTAGTTTTTTCTTCAGTTGTAATCGGGTACACTTTACTGGTTGTTGTACTTGACAAAATAGTTGTCTGTTTAGATATTTGAAATGTCCAAATATTCTTATCAGTAACAGGTGCTGATTCAATGCCACATGATTCATTAATAGTGGCCACTCCACTATCCAACAGAATATAATACTCTTCACCCTATATTAATGAACTTAAACATTTTACGAATTTAAAATATCAAAAAATAAAAAGCCATTTTAAGATTGATGAAAATGAAAAAATCTAGAAATCTCCTAAATGTTTAACAAAATAGTCAACAGACATTTCAAGAGCAAAGTAGCTATGATGATAATGCATAAATGGTACTATGAATGTGTTCGTGAATGTGTAAAAAGCTTTTAGATAGTTTTACTTTCATAAATTTTTTCACTCACTTTATTCCAGGTATAACCAGATGTGTAAAATGTAATTCTTCGTGGTTCATAACGAACAAAAGCAGACGAAGTAACATCAACACGATATACTTCTTCGTTATTTGATCGTTTGAAAAAGTGAATATTGACACCGGTCAATCGTCGTGGTGAGACTATATCTCGATCAATATCGATTGCCCATGTTGATTGATTGTCAGGTACGATACCAGTTGGATGCATACGAATAAATTGAGGCGGATCAACATCAACTTGAAACGTGAGACAAACTTGTGAACCTGTTTGTTGTTGAGAATCGACTGGTGTTAAACACAGTTGATGGATCCCATACTGATCAGATTCTGGTGTCCATTGAATTTCCATCGAGTAAAGGTCCTCTAATCATGCCTGGTGGTGACACTGTAAGAATGTTGGCTAAAGTAGTACTCGTATTTGCACATGGAATACGAAATCGAACTTGTTCAGTCACCGACTAGTCCGATTTGACTCCGATACAAGCACCTTGTGGCCGGTTACCAACATAAATGGGTAGTTGAGTGCAGTTGTTTGAATTTATTTTGGCTCACATTCTTATTGACAATGTGAATAAGAAACTGAAGTGGAATAGATGAAAGTACTTTGTTGTCGGTGTCAACATCTTCAATCACTAGAGCAACAGCCGCATAACCGAGTCGAGTAGCATTGTAAGTTAATACACATGGATCTGCTGTGAGAGGACCTTTTGATGAACATATACTACCGCATTCTTGTTTTTCGTTCCGACCCCATCGACATTGCAATGGGTCGCCGTCACTATCAGCCATCGGGATTCGAATAATATGCATCTTTCCAATCTGAACTTCTACAATAGGATTCATTGCTGATATGCAGTGTTTCCAATGGCAGGTGTACCAAGCAGAAGTAAAATGTACCGAACATCTGTCATTTTTGATTTACACTCTGCCGCACACTTGCTCAAAAAAATAAAGTGTACAGTGTACACTTTGCGAAAAAGATTTACACTTTGATTTATGAGCCTTAAAAGCTGTAAAGCAGATGCTATTAAATTAAATATTATCTATAAATGATAAATTGTGACCTTTTACATTCAAATTCTATGATTGGCTGAATGCAAGTTCTATTCGTTCTCGATATTTGTTTTGTTTACACAGAAACTNACTGAGAGAGGTACTAAGTTAAGAGAAATTTCAAAGTAAATCTGAAACATGGCTTTGCCATTCTATCCTGAAGCAAGTTACAGATATGAGAGTTTAAGCGTTAGAGAGAGGATAATTAAGCGATCCTAGAGCATTAATAAAAGCTGAAAATTTCTGTAGACTTCGTAAAAATGTTTGAGCCCAAAAAACGTCAAAACTAAGCATTCTCTATAGCATTTCCCCAAAGGAAAACAAAACACGAGGCAGAAAAGAACTGATATAAAAAAGTAATCACCTCAATGAGTAGTATCTATGGTAAATTTTTTGGACTTCTATCATTTGTATGAGGAGCTAGGATAGGTTTCGTTATTGTAGGCGACCCTATCGGGTCCATCATATAAGGCCCGTTTCAAAAAGCTTTTAACATTTCTTAAATCTACAGCTATGCTTAGAAGTACATGTGCTGCAATCTTTGAAAGTTTCATTCAATTCCCGAGAAGTCAATTTAAACTCTGGTACACTCTCGAAAAAATAATATTTAATGTAGCCTTCACCTAGTCCACTCACTCAGTTACTCTCATCTTCATTCTCAACACTGCTACACACTAGACTCAAATGCAATTAGAAAATTTCGACAAGTATTTTCAAGTGTATCTAAGATTATGAAATCCTTCTGCAAATATTTACCACTTCGTAAGATATTTCAACAAAAGAAACGTCATTCTCTCTCATATAGACTTCGAAAACAATGTGCGTGAAAACGTTGTAAACATTTTCTTTTGTGTTTTGTGCACGATCGAGAGATAAGGATGCCTTGCAGTTGGTGGTCAACCAATGAATAGTTAAAAATGCAACGTGATGATCATTCATTGATATACCGTCACTATTTCATCGGTTCTAACCAAGATATATCAACCATCCAAAAATTGGACATTCAAGGAATTCATGGAATTCAAACAAATTAAGTAGGATTCAGTGTTTGGAATAGGTATGTGACAACTCCAATTCTCGAAAGCTAAAGCTATTGACCAGCTTAGCTGCCCGCTGGATTCTGTCGTTGTTTTCAAGTATAATGATGCCACAGGTATCCTCATGAATGCTGGATGTGTCATCAGGGATGCTAGAGATATGTCTGAAAATACTAGTAAGATTCATGAGGATGCTTATAGAATCGTGATACTCGAAAAAACAATATAGAATGCTGCGGACAGCAACGCTGATCAACAGCTCCACCTCTTCAAGTCAGTTCTCGAGAGTTGTGAAGGTGAAGCTGTCACACATCTAGTTTGAAGTACTCATATTGGAATTGTATGTGTCAACCTTTGTAATCGCGTCAGTGGAATTGTGTGTGATAGGTTCCCAAGTTCCTTCATTGTAGAATACATGGAATTCCTTCTGAGTTCTTGAATTTCTTGAATCTCACCTGCATTGCTGTCGAATTTGCAACTTCTGGATGGTGGATACTACTGTCCTAATCATTAACCGACGAAACGGTTACTGATCTAAACCAAAAACCAGTTTTTACCAGTTTCACCGGTGAATCGCCAGTATTCGGCAGTGTTCACAAGCGAATGGTAGTTACTCTTGCGTTGCCAAGAAACTAGTAACAGATTCATTATGAATAACAACGCAGCTGAGTAACGAAAAAATCTCTCGATTAGATTATTTCAACGAAAGACTGCTCAGCGTTAGTACCAATTTTTCATAATGTTTGACCGAATGGAATCGAGGTCAAGGAATCCGAGTCTGCAGTCGATTTCTGGATATTGGGTACTTGCTTTTTTATTGAAAGAAGTTGTTAAGTTACAAAATAAAATTTATGAAAACAATGTTTTTTACATAAAGAAAATTGTTGCTTATAAAAAAGGAATTTTTTTTACTAAAAAAATACTTTTTTTATGAAATGTGATTCTTTCGCAAAAACAATGTTTTTGATGAAAAATAAGTACACCATATCGAGAACCCGATTGCAGGTTCGGATTTCTTGACCCTGATTATCTTTGGTTAAACTTTACGAAAAATCGGTATTTTCGCACAATATTGCTTTCTTCAGGAAATAATCAAATTGAGAAAGTTTTCGTTAGCTACTTACCGTGTAATTTGTAATGGATCCATTACCAGTTTTTTTGGCAACATACGAGTGACTTCCCTTTCCTCGTGGATACCGACAAATACCGGAGATACACGGGTGAAACTGGTGAAAACCAGTTATCATCACTAGTGCATCCTACAAATATTTGTTAAAATGTTAGTACAAAAGGAAAGTAAGTGTTGAAAAGCAGACATTTCTATCGCTAGTGCGCATCATTGAGGTAAAATTATGATGCTACGTTAAAGCCTATTAAATCTGAAACTAACGTTGAATTAATGCTGCTCCTGTCGTCACAATAAGGATCATCCCTTATATGCACTCGCCTTCCCTCCCCACCATTTTATTTAAAGACAATTACTGGCCAAGTAATTCGCTGAGTGCTATGAAAGACCAGGGGTTTCGTTAGGGATCGTTTAAAGTTGTATCCTTCGTAGCCGTGAAGGTATTAGATTTACAAGACAATAAACTAAAACTTCCGAAATAATTCAATAAATCTATCATATGTTTTACTACCTCTTCTTCAAACGACGCCATTAGCCGATCATCCCATCGTTTCACAGCACCGTTGGAAGAAGTAGAGCTTCACAAGATCAGATGTCACATTAGTATCGATGATGAGAGATTTTCATGAGAGACCATGATTTGTGCCTCTCAGTCGTCAGCAACGATATATTTTCTTTACAGATAATTAGCTGAAGAAAAGGAGGATGAGTGTCTCGATTAACTTCACTTAATTTCTCAAGGATTTAATTAGCTTGAAATGCGTCAACCAAGGCACGAGCTAGTTTTGACGGGCCTAACTTGCTCAGGCGAGTAATTATTGTCTGCGTAAATACAAAACGACCGTTCGTCTTTTTCTGCCTTGATCTTATAATGAGCGTCTGTATGTTAATCTGACAAGTGAAGCGCAGCAAGATTCTTACCATAAGTTTAGAAGACTGAATCTATTTTGCTGATATATTTTAAAGCGGTTCAATGAAGAACAGTAAGTGCAAACGGCTGGGCAGATGAGAGGACATCGAAATGTTTACATAACCTACTCATACCCACACCCACACCCAAATCTATACTGTAATGCTTTTGTTTGCCCTCGTCCTTATGGACATTTAAAGGAACAGTTCTGGTTGATTTAAACAACAGAAAGTATTCATTCGTGTGCTTTAATTAATGCTATAATGTCGATAACATTATGCGGTAGTTATACAAATACTTCTCGATACAAAAGTCTCATTGACAAGAACAGAGAATTCTTTTTTATGAACTTATGCTCATGTTTCTTATCACTATATCACATTTAAGATCATAATAGGAGATAACTGAATGTATTCATCATTGTTGGTCATCATTATCCTTTGTGGATCGATTGTACAAGATGTTAACAGTTGGGGGATAGTTGGACATCGTCTCGTTTCTAGACTCGCTCAAAGTCAGTTGAACGATGAAGCATTTCAGTGGGTTAAATCTCTCCTTCCATGGTACTTTTTCGGTAACTTGACTTCTGTAGCAGTATGGGCTGACGATATTCTCTATCCGAATACAAATCCATACGGTTATCCCAATTGGCAGTGGAGCCGACCACTACATTATATCAATACGCCATCTTGGAATTGCAACTATGATCGATTGAGAGATTGTGTCAATGATGTTTGTGTTGCGGGCGCATTAAATAATTATTCAAAGCGCGCCATCGCTGCTGATTTCGACGATATTCAACACCAAGAAGCAATCATGTTTCTTGTACATTACGTTGGCGACGTACACCAACCGTTGCATGTTGGTTTTCAAGAAGATCGGGGAGGCAATTCTGTCAGAGGTAAATCATTATTTCTGAATTCAAAACAAGAATAATGGAGGTCGTACTATTTGTAATTAGGCTATTTCATGACTCAAACATCTCCAACGAATCTTCACTCATTGTGGGACAGTGGCCTCATCAGCATTCGATTGTCACGTGATTTCAAGTCGAATATTACAAGCTATTATGACTATCTTTATGATCTTATGCTTAACCAAACATCAACAAGCAACGAAAATGATTTCGAACAATGGGCTCGAGAAAGCTTGACTATTGCTTGTCAACAGGCCTATTTGGATGAAAATAATACGAAGATGAATTCCTCCATAAACTTCACATTGGGTAATAAGTATTATGAAAGAAATATAGGAATAACCGAACAAAGACTTGCCCGTGCAGGTCGCCGCTTGAGCGCACTGCTCAATCGCTTAGCCGCTAATCGTCCGACAGTAACATCTGGATGCACAAAACTGTTTTCAAGTACAGTCAACATCATTGCATTAATTTCGCTGATTTTGATTACGCTCACATCAGCTTAACCATAATTCATCATTCAATGTCAAAAACAACGAAAACTATGTTCGCTTGATTACTTTTTTAAGGCAGAAAACGTGCACAATTGATGTGTATATAAACTCTTGCGAGGGATGTCTGTGTAGGTCCTACTGGGGATATCATGTGTGTGCCAGAGGGTGTGGCTGACTGTGACGACGTGGGTAGATGTCGATGTGCGGGTAGGTGTGATTGTGTTTATGGGTGTGGATTCCTGCGTTGCTGTGAGTGTAGGGATGGTGGTGGAACTGGTATAGGTCTATGTGTATGTGTGTGTGGATATCCCTCAGTGAGGAACCCCCACATCTTTCTAGTTGTTGTAGGTTAGAAATAATATTATTGAAATGATAGGACTAAGTAAAAGCATCTAGCAAGTAAAAATGATCTAATGAAGATCATGCAGATGTAGTAAAAAATGATTTAAGAATCAAATTTCCGAAAAAGTTTTATTGACCAACGCTAAGGCGAGCAATTGAAACTATGTTTTTCGATAAGCTTGCTCTCGTTTAGTGGTTGATATTTCGACGAGCTTCGACTGATTGAAATCGAATCAAGTAATCGACAATATCTTTCCGATGAGCGTTTTGTATTTGAGTGGTTCAAATTTTGATAGACTTCAAGTGGTCAGAATGTCTCCGAGAAGGCGAAAATGAATTGTGATGAGATAAGGGTGTGGATGTGTATGAGTGTTGCTGAAGGAATGCCATTGCCGAGAAGATCACACCCTCACCGCTAGCTGGTAAAAATATACAGATTACACCTATTAAAAAACTAATTTGAAATTGTATGAAGCTATTTAGAGATTCTCTTTTTCTTCTTGAATGCAAATGAAAGAAATAAGAATGTATTGAGCAGACATGCAGAATCTACCTGCGTACGCGACCGACCATTCAGGAAAACTTTAGAAGACTTCTTAATATCCAAGGAAGGTTTGTGAAAAAGAATCAGTGGTACATAGTACATGCCGCACTTCTATCTTCTGTCTATGAGATACTGAACATTTATTCAAATTTTAGTTATGATCGTGCTGGATATTAACAACCTATTTAATTCAGAAATTGTTTGAATTTCTATTTCTCTACGGATAAAATACAGTTCGTGTAAGTGTAAGCTCACCAAGACCGACCAATACTCGAAGTTAGAAATATTGTAAATCATAAGAGAGAAGTTTTTGCTCTATATGCTCACCATCTTAGAAGCATGCATCGAATGTACATTTAATTTCTGATAAGATGAGACGTCTATTCAATTAAACAACTGTGAAAAATTTATGATATTTTCAATCTATTGAAAGTAGTAGCTCTACTTTGTCCAGAATTAGTTTTCTTGTTTCTTGATATTTTGAACAATTTTCTACTTCGAAATTTATTATATAACATATTGTAGTACATCTCAAATTCGACCATCTCTAAAACTGATCTGACTTTTCCGCCTTTTTAATCTTTGTACTTCTAGGACGAAGATGTTCTCATGTACCTAACTTAGTTTGCTCTGCTACAAAAGAAGTCTATTTGAATAACAAAAACGATAGTTATTGCAGAAAATTAAATTTTAGATAATTATTGATTGTTTCAAAGATCTGGCAACCCAGTGCACCTTTTCCTCTATTTTTTAGCCTCTTTTGGGTAATTTTTTTTTGAATATTTTAGAAGATTGTGTGGGTGTGAAGCTAGTGTTTACTCAAACCCATACCCACAACCACCTAACCCACACCCATGCCCTTTGAAATGCGAATCATTATATTTAATTAGATTTCATGAAATAAGAAAAGAAATCCAAATGAAAACCGAAACGATGATTCATCATTGCACGATGAAACACTGCCATTTACTTAGTCGATATCGGACTACAATTAGACCTCTTTGTTTTCAACAACTGGAAACAAGTTTTGAGTAAAATCACTAGATTATCATTATTGATAGGACAAGTACACTTGAAAAAACTGGTCACTAGACCTAGTTGTCAGAAAGGAACTGACTCGTAGAACTGTGAGCTGTAACAGATCTAATTAAAAAGCAATTCTAATGAAACTCGAACTGTGGATGTGGATGGGTGTGTAGTTAACTGCGAGTGGAAAAAAGCACCCACACACACACGCAAAGTTTTCTATTATGACATATACAAAATACACCAGAGTTATCGTTTCATATTCCATTAACTTTCTTTTTCTCAATCCTTTTTTTCTCATACCAGTTTGGTATTAATCAATTCTGGATTAAGCATTATTTTATTATAAAATTGCCAAGAAAGAAGTTTTTCCATAGCACAATATATTCAAGCAAAAAAGCAATGTTTTCTTTCACCTAATAGCCATACTATGTGGAGTTATCTTTTCGTGCAAATGACACTTCAGCTAAAAAGCGTAATTCATAGTAACCATATGCACATTTCGGATTTCGGATAACTACACGATAATCGCCTCTTGGAAGACGATAGCTTAATACAGAAGCAAAGCAATTCATTGATGGAATACTATTTCCATCGTCATTTTCGGCCAGAAATTGTCTGGCATTTTCTGAATGAAGTTCAATTAGAGGATCACTAGCACCCGAAGTTTTCCAACTCGAACATGAGACCCATGTATTGGCTACTATGGTAACATCAGCAAAAGTTGTATTAACAGTGAAACAGAATGTAAATGTTGGATACTCGGCATTTGTTCTTAGATTCAAAATAGTGTTAAATTGAAACCATCGATAGCATGCTGGAATAGGAAATGTGCTCGATGTAATTGCTTCCATAGTTGCCGTAGTTTCTTTTGATGTGATCTGTGTGGTTGTCACCGTACTTTGTACTGTTTTCTGTGTGATTGTTATTGTACTTTGTACTGTTTTCTGTGTGGTTGTTATTGTACTTTGTACTGTTTGCTGTGTGGTTGTTATTGTACTTTGTACTGTTTTCTGTGCAGTTGCTGTAGTTCTTTTCTCAGTTGTAGTCAGATACGAATTACTTGTGGTTGTACTTGGCAAAATAGTCGTCTGTTTTGGTATTTGAAATGTCCAAACATTCTTATCAGTAACAGGTGCCGATTCAATGCCACATGATTCATTAATAGTCGCCACTCCACTATCCAACAGAATATAATATGCTTCACCCTATATTAATAAACTTCGACAGTTGATGAATTTAAAATATCAAAAATGAAAAATCATTTTTACGATTGATAAAAATGGAAATATCTAGAAATCGACTAAATGTAAATCAAAATAGACAACATACAATTCAAATGCAAAACTAGCTATGATGATTATGTATGAATGGTACTATTATATTTGTGTATATCTTTTGACTAGAATTCACTCACTTTGTTCCAGGTATGGCCATATGTGTAAAATGTAATTCTTCGTGTTTCATAATGCACAACAGAAGGCGAAGTAACATCAACACGATATACTTCTTGGTTATTTGATCGTTGGAAAAAGCGAATATTGACACCAGTCGATCGTCGTGGTGGAACTATGTCTCGATCAACTTCGATTGTCCATCTTGATTGATCGTCAGGTACAATTCCAGTTGGATGCATACGAATAAATCGAGCCGGATCAATATCGACTTGAAATGTGAGACAAACTTGTGAACCTGTTTGTTGTTGAGAATCGACTGGTGTTAAACATAGTTGATGAACACCATATTGATCACATTCAGGTGTCCATTGAACTTCCATTGAGTAAAGATTGGGATCAAATGAGTCGCGTGTAATGGATCCTCTAATCATGCCCGGTGGTGACACTGTAAGAATGTCGGCTAAAGTAGTACTTGTATTTGCACATGGAATTCGAAACCGAACTTGTTCAGTCACTAACGAGTTCGATTTGACTCCGATACAAGCACCTTGCGGCCGATTACCAACATAAACAGGTAGTTGACTGCAGCTGTTTGAATTATTTTGACTGATAGGCTTATTCACAATGTGAATAAGAAACTGAAGTGGAATGGATGAAAGTACTTTGTTGTCGGAGTCAAAATCTTCAATGACCAGAGCAACAGCTGCATAGCCAAGTCGAGTAGCATTGTAAGTTAATTCACATGGATTTGGTGTGATAGGGCCTTTTGGCGCACAGATGCTGCCACATTCTTGGTTTTCTTTCCGACCCCACCGACATCGCAAGGGATCGCCGTCGCTATCGGCCATCGGAATTCGAATAGTATTTATTTTGCCAATCTGAACTTCTACAATAGGATTCATTGCTGATATGGGTGAGTTGTTCAATCTTGTGTCAAAGAAAAGAAAATGAAAACTGTAAATTAAGGAAGTACAACGTACTTTCCGTTACGACGTCGATTGGTGTTGATGACAAGCTTTAGTGACCATTTTAATTCTGAAAAAATTTACAATGTAATACAATAATCAAAGATAATGCGAGAAATAACATGGAATAAAATGAATTTGAAGCATTTTTAGCTAAAAAGCAACTGGACTAACGAAATGCTACAGCTGCAAGTTCATCCTGAATATTGGTAGCGATGATGTAAAACGAGAGGAATAATTTTACCCGAACTCTGGTAAGATTTCATTGGTGTATAAACAATCATTCTGGTTTTTGCTTCCCTGTTCTGTAAATACTGTAATGGTTATTAAAAAGTCTTTGTGCTAAACACTATGAAAAATAATAATTGTAAGTTTGCATACAAAATATTTCTAAAGTCTCTCTCCTTCCCAATGCAGTGCGACCTTGTGCCAGATCAAGAGGTAATTTCAAAAAGTCACAGATCCTTGAAAAGCTTATCATCTTTTACATTAGATTTCTTATCAGTCAGTATCGGGCTCCATCGATTTAGTTGGAACTTCCAATGTGTAGTATTGGGTATCTAGTCTTATCAGGTAGAAAGTAGTAATATAATGTCATATGAAAGAATGACTTGAAGACAAAAAAACGTTTTCACTATTCTTTCATCCAATCTAAATTGTTTCTGTAAAAAGGATAAAGAAAACTCTTCAGCATGGAGATATATGAAGCTGAATTTACTTAAGTCATACCAAAAGTAGTGGTCCCCGCATTTTAATTTCGTATAGAGTGCTTGGAAAAAATTTCTTTTTTTATGAACAGATCGAGCGTCTTTTGCTCGATCTTTCTATGCTATTTGATTACTATTCAACTAATATCATAATAATAAAATTTCGACAAGATCTGTTTCTTTCGCATATGTATTGGTAGCATGAATGCTCTTAAGTACTTTTTGAATAACGTTGGATAACAACAAGATAGAGAACTGCGATTATCACCATTGAAAATAGGAGATGAAGACGCATCGAATTATATATTACTGATTTTTCTAATACGATTTCTGAAGTCTTTTTATTCAATTTTCTAACCATTGAAAAAATGTCTTTTTTATGAAAAAAAGCAAAAGCAAAAAGGTTGATAGGAAATCGTAGTTAGAATACATATTATCTATAAATAATTAAATTTTAACATCTGAGTCTTTCTCAGTTTGTAGATCTTCGATTAGTGGTTCGAGTGTGAATCTGATTATTGAATATTCACTGTAAACAACCCACAGGATAGGTTTGTTCTTTAAAAGGTCAACTTAAAACCTTACAAAAAACAGGTTAGAAAAAATCAGTAATATGCAGTTCGATGTGTCTTCATCTCCTCTTTCCGACGGTGATAATCGCAGTTCTCTATCTTGTTGTTATCAAACGTTATTCAAAAAATACCCATGAGCATTCAAGTTCATGGTACCAGGACACATGCGAAAGAAACAGATCTTATCGAAATTTTATTATTATGATATAAGTTGAATAGTGATCAAATAGCATAGAAAGATAGAGCAAAAGACGCTCTATCTGTTCATAAAAAAGAAATTTTTTCCAAGCAGTCTATACGAAATTAAGATGCGGGGATCACTACTTTTGGTATGACCTAAGTAGCTTTCTATGAATTGAGCAAAACTCGAAATATCTATTTTTTTCTCATAGAATAATTTCAACCTAACAGTAATTTTTGAGTCGAATCACTGATGAGCATGTGCCAACAAAACTATTCACAGTCTTCAGGTTTTGACTATATGAAACTGTAGCAGTCTTTGAGCATGCTTCTAGTCGAATCAGCCATTAAAAAAAATGGAATGCGGGCCTAACATAACCTACCTTCGGCAATACTGTTTTGTGAAAGAGAATTGTTAATGACTCTTAAATTACATTGCAAAAAGAAAAACCATGACAGAGACTTCGATGATTATCTAACTATCTATCCTTCAAGAATCATATGTTCGAGATTGGCAGATTCCTCGTCTATGAGTAGAACCCACAGTCAGGTTAGATATATTAGGTGATTGAGAATTCCTCAAATATCATCTTTTCGCACACTTACCATTATCAGTATCTGGTGGTAACAATTGGATCCAACAACAACCCTGGTAAGAATACTCGATCAGTTTGTTCATTGGAAGTGTGACTAACGTTGAAATTTCCCCACTGCTATAATCGAACTGCACATTAAAATCGGTACATCGTACCATAGCTGGTAAGTTTTTTTGTTTGCCCTCGGAAATAACGAGTTCACCTTCACCAATCAAACCAGACGTAGCAATGGTCTTGTTGTCACAAAAATGATTCTTTCCATATGAACGACGCCATGAATGTCGTTGTGTAATACGTACAGGTATCTCTTGCCGATTTGTGGCAACATTATTTGGAGTTTCTCTTATTGTCCACGATATAGAGCCACCTCTTTAAATGTTTATGCATATCAGTAGAATGTGAGAAAAAACATGTTGAATCTTACCGATAATGAGAGGCTATGATCGAATTCGTTAAAAGAACTATGATAAGACAGATAAGACTGAGTTGCTGCATGATTAACAGGCATACATACTTTTTCTTCATGAATTCGGCTTTAAATAGTCTTCGATAGATTAATCATATATTGACAACTTCTGATTTTTGTTGAAATCGGAGTCAATCCGATCCTGTTACCAAATCTCGTTAATAATTAATGAAAGCTCTTTAATCCAAATATTGATAGATAAATAGTTCCAAAATTGTTTTCCATATTAATTGAAGTTAACTGTAAGACAATCCGCCTCATAATTTTTCGTGGCTGCACATTCGATTCTATTCGTTGAATTGATCGATTTTTATTTAATATGTGAAGCTGTGACGAGGAGAATTAATTTAATTTTTCATCAAATAATAGAGACTTTATTATGCCACCATTCGTAACAGTCAAGATAAAAACAAACTGTTTTCAAAATTTGAAAATACGCAACTTTTGCAGGAGATTCTGTAATTACTATCTTGCTCTCATATATCAACAATATTAATAAGTATTAGATTTCAAAAATATTTACCGATACTTTTTATGGGCTATGTGAAACGATTAAATATCACTCATTTGCAAAATAAATATTAATATTTTATGTAGGAGTTGATTAAACTAGAAGAAGTTTAGAAAAGTGGTCTTGATTACATCATCCTGGCTACTTCTCATTTACGAACATGAAGCGAATTAAATACTACTGTAACGAACTTATTTTGAATTTTCAATCCATCCTTAACCTATTCAACAAGATATGAAGAGAAGCACTGCGCTATTGCTTCCAGATTAAGTATTAGACAATAAGCAAGCTAACTCATGAATCAGTACATGCATGTAACTAGAAAAATCATCTACCACCACCGAAGTACAAAACACATGACTGTGAACGACGGCAACTTCATGTCACGAGCACAAAAACCCAATCGAGCCTGCCTATCTAAAACCATCGTAGATCCAAAACAATGAACTACTGAACAACCAGCAATGATAAAAGCAAAAGCAGCAACAAATTTCACCTTTTCCCGCACGTACACAAAACACAAGTAACGCTCGTCCGTGTGACTCGCTTGACCCTCGACTGTATATTCGGCTCTTTCCATTTTTTCTTGCGATTTGCGATCTTCAACACAGCTAGTATTCAATGTTCCAAAAGGGTGGGTAGGTGTGTTTACGCTAATATTAACGTCAATCTCATGGTGCATAATTGTATGCGGGTCTGGTTGAACATTTTTGTCACAAATGCATCCAATCAAATTGACACCCTCACATTGACACTCAACAAAAATCTAAGGAGCTAAACGATGGCGACGATATCCATATGTACCCAAAAAAGGAGCTTATACTCAGCTTTCTGAGAGATAATGAAGCAAAAATCATTCGCGACACTTTCATGAGAACGCACCAGGCTCCTTAAACTTTCTACTACAAATCCGTTCGCTTGCTGGCACGTCTGTTGACAATATTGTTTACTAGAGCATCCGCTTGGAAAATACGGGTTTACTTGAACTTCTACCTNAATGTATCAAGTTTAGGCAGTTGAATACGAATACGTGAATTTTTTATTGTAACATTTTCATCAGCTGTATCCAATAAATCAGTTTTTGTTGTTGGTAAGGTTGGATTAGATTTAATTATATGTCGATCGAAGTCCGAATGTTTATCCTATTGAATAAAAATGATGATGTTGTTTTTAACGATTATATTAAAAATAATTAAATTACTCGTGTAACAAAGAAATAAAATGGAATTTTAATAGCAATCAATTGTCGATAAGAAACATTACGTAGAAATGCATCTTTTGGAAATATTTGATTGTCTGATGTACAAAGCATACTGACGATTAATGATGCTGCCTGAAATAAAAACAACATAAACTAGTATAAGAAATAATAATTTTTTTTGAATGAAATTTTTAAATCAAATGTGTAGCCTTTAATCATAAGATGATAACTTTTCATTGTATACAAGTTCATATTTAAGCGAGAAGAAAATAAAATCATTTTCTAAGAGCAACATACGATTTCAACTGAATTTAGATCCTTTCTAATCAAATATCAGTTTAAAATATTAGATATTTTTTGAAACAAGCAATGTATCTTTTATAATACTTTAAAACTGAAGAACCAAAATTAGAATTGTTATCAAATGTTTTTTTCTAAATAAAAAATGTTTCAATGTTTCTTAGATACAAACATTATCTTAAAAATGTATTGTTTTAAATATATTTTACCATATCTTCTTGACTTGCTGCAACTGAATCTCGTGCTGCAATTGTATGATTAATGGCAATACTTGAATCACCATCTCCAACTCCTCTACTTGTTAACAGTATATCATAAGTTTTATCATCACCATTTAATGATGCACTTAAATCAAGCTTTTGTTGATGTAAATAAATTTCTAATGCCATCAATCGAGAATCTTCTGGATCCCATTGAATATTTGATGGATAACGACGATATTGTGGTGTATTTTTCGTATTATCTTTTGGTCTAATACGACCATATTCAGTACCCGGTAATTTCTCTGAACTAAAATCAAAACATGTCACAACATCTTTTTCTACATCCCATACATAAAGTCGACTACTCGGATTCAAATTTGTCTATTAAATAATAAAAAAAAAGAAGTTATAATAAGATAATTTTCTACAAAAACTTTGATTACTTGTGATGTTAAAACTGTTACTTTTGTTCCTGTACAATTAACTGCTATTTCACGTATTGAATCAACTGATGGTGTGTGTGCATTTATATTTAATGTTTTACCAATTGGTCGTAATTCACTATTAAATAAGAGAAAAAAAATTAGTTATCGACTTTAAGACGATCCACTCCCCTCAAGAATCGATCACGGGTCGGGTATATTCAAATCGCATGAAATTTTCAGCCGTATGTCGTGACATTCGAAAATGATATTCAACAAACAAGAGTCAAACTATCTAGCATAGATCTTTTTTTCAAACTCTTACTTTGTATGTGTAGAAAAAGGATGACAAGTTTAATATCTCGACAGGCTCTCAAAAATTGTCATCTATATATAGAAATGTTTTTTTTTAAATATAATAATAAAAAAGTCTAGTTCAAAAAACAAGCACTGGAGCTTCACATGGTGTTTCAAAAATTAGAAATTGACTATAATGAGACTCCTTCAAGAATTCTAGAATGTGCGATCAGAAAAGAATATTTTTCAAGCAGAAGATGGCAGAAATCATCAAAAACCTTGGCAAAAAAATGAGGTACCAAATAAAATATCATATCCTTGACGAATAATCAGACTTCCGGCTATCGTCCCATGCATTTATTTCAATTTTTCCGAAGAAAATTGACTCTTTTTTTTAGAGTATCGTGCCTTAATTGTTAATACATACCGTCGAGATATATCAAAAACTTTAACATAACCTTTGGTTGAACCAATAACAAGAAATGATCCATTTGAATTAATTGTATTTACTTCACCTTCATTTTGTGCAAATGTAAGTGTTTGTCTAGATGTTCCCTTTTTTTTTTTACAGAAAAAGAAAGTTCTTTTTTTTGTTTTGTTTTTCTTTCAGAATAATATTTTCTTTTACTTGAAACGACATGACATTAACACGACCATTTTCTTGTACAAATAAAAGTTGATCGAAAAGGATAACATTTGATGGTGAACAAGAAAAATAACCTTTAAAGTAAACAATAATATACATTTAATTATTTAATAAATTTAAATTCGTTTAAATTAACCTTTTTCATTTCGAACAACTTTTTCATTATCGGATTTTGATGCATCACAAATAAGTTCATAAACACGAATTTGTTTTTTATTCCAAACAGCAATATGATTCTAGAAAAGAAAAATATAGAATATGTTTTATATTTTTACAAAAAATAAAACAATTTCTTAAATAGAATACAAACTTTAGAAACACATAAACTTTTAAATGGCATATCTAATTCTTCTTCTTTCACAATACTATAGCGAAAAAATGCTACATGAACAACTGTTGGACTAAGTTGAACAACTGCAAGCTAAATATAAAACAGATTTTTCAATTAATCATTTTTCTTTATGAAATTAAAATAACATCCATTGAATAATTTACCTGATCTCTATATGCTGCTGACATATTTTCATCAGTAAGTATAAACATTTGTGAAATCAAATTAGCAGCAAGACAATTTCGTTGTGGACAATACTAAAACATATTTATATAAATATATCTTCAAAGAATAATATTAATTCTTTACTTTTAAACTTCGAACAGGTATACCATTGGCAATTTGTTTAGCTCGTTGGAGACTCCAATGTTTTTCCACATCTGTTGTATGACGATTCGGATTATAAATCCAAAATGCAATATTTCCTCGATTAGTACCCGCAGCAATAATTCCTTATATACAAAAAACAGATTTATTAGGAAACAAAAAGAAAAAGATACTCTACGATATACCTTTCATTGCACTGTAAGATACAGAAATTAAAACTTCATTATTAGCATAACCCATTTCTGGATTTATTTTTAAAAGAAGATTATCCGATGAAGCAAGATCAATCATTCGTATTGTTGATTCACCAGTAACATAAGCAAATAAAGTTGTACCAATTAAAGCAAAATCTGAATCTGTCGGTCGACCAGATAATTTACCCTTAACAAATGATTATATGAAAAGATTGCTATATTTTTTTTTCTTTAATTAAATTTATTATCTTACAGAATTTGTAGGAATTAAAACTTCTGATTGTGTTTGCAGTTGTTGAAGATTATATTGTGTCATCATATTTCCTTTAGTGACAACAATAAGCATATCATAATCATATGAATGTAAAAGACGTGCAACACCATCATCAGCCGAACATATTTTTCGTAATTTGTCAATAACCATATAGACATTTCCTTTATCAGTACCAACATAAAAAGTTGCTGGTTCACTAAATTGTTGTCGACTTGTACTCATAGCAAGCATATCTAATGCAGTTTGATCACCTTCAACTGCTGCTCGAGCTAACTCTCGATAATCTCTTGAAAATAAAAATATTTAATAGAATAAAAACGACTCTATTCGAGAGAGAATTTAATGCACTTACTGATCAGATCGACCTGAAGGTGACGATTTACTTAGTACATATGTGACTGATTCACCAGGAACAGTAACTTGTAAAATTACGCTTTGCTGAGATACTTGAGCTAAAGAATCAGCTTTCCAAAGGATGATTAGACCATCCTAGAATATAATTAAAAGAACTTCATGTGAAATCAATAAAATAAAAAAATTCAAATAAGAAATCTTTATTAAGCATCTTTGTTTTTGTATATAGATTTGACTCTAGAGATAAGTACTACTTTATATCTGTTAATTTTATTTTATTTTTTAGTATAAATTTATATGAAAAGTATATTTCTCTAAATTACTTGATCAGCTGACAATAATCGTGTTCCATCTACATTAATTGTTAACGATGTAATACAACTTTTATGAACAATGACACTTTCTAATCGACGATTTGATCCATTCCATATCATCAATTCACCATCTAACAAAAATAAAATGTTTTGTTTTTCAAAGAAAAAATAAATATTCTTCATACTGGAAAAACCGATAGCTAAAGTTTTTTTAATCGGATGCCATGCCATACAATAAGCATTACCCATATGTTGTACACGAGCAGCTTCATCATGTTCACCCTTATTTTTACAAGAAAAACAAAATTCAATTATACTAATTAATGAAATATGATTTCAACTTACATCTTCTCCATAGAAGAATATATTTGTACCAACACTAACCGATGCCACAGCAAGAATATTCAATGATGGATGCCATTCCATCAATTGAAAATGAGGTGTTTCAGAAAAATTTCCTAATTCAAGTTTATGCTCAAAATATTGTGTAGCCATTTTATTTTTCTTAAAAAAAAGATCAAAATTGATATGACTGAAACGAATGATACCATAGATGAATCCATCGCTTTGACAACCATGTGACGTGATTGTTTTTTTTTCCAAATCAAAAAATAATTTTGAAAATTAAAAAGTGAAAAAAATAACTTGTTTCGAAAATAAAACAAAAAACATTAAATTGAACATATTTCAAATTTTCTATTCTAACGACATCTAATGGAATATTCTCGATGCTTACGTATATCACAGTTTTATTTTATTTTCACATTTGTAAGTTTTATTAACATATCGATGGAAGCTGGACTTAAAGGCAAAGATATTTCACCATCAAAAGATGAAGGTTTGTTGTTTTAATTGTTAATCATTTCAAATTTTCTTTTTTTTTTTTTCTTTTTTTAAAAAGGTGTTCTTAAAGAAATAATCAAAGAAGGTTACGGTGATGAAACACCAATAACAAATGATAAAGTATTTGTACATTATGTTGGTACATTACTCGATGGAACTAAATTTGATAGTAGTCGAGATCGAAATCAAAAATTTGAGTTCGAACTTGGTAAAGATACAGTTATTAAAGCATGGAATATTGGTGTAGCAACAATGAAACGTGGAGAAATATGTCGTTTAATATGTAAACCTGAATATGCCTATGGTGAAACTGGTTCAGGAGATAAAATCGGACCAAATGCAACATTAATTTTTGAAATTGAACTTTTTGATTTTATCGGTATGATTTGGAAAAAAATCAACAAATTGAAATTTTCTTTCTTTTTGGAATTATAGGTGACGATTTAAGTGAAGGAAAAGATCAAAGTATTTTACGACGAATATTCAAACGAGGCGAAGGATGGGCTAAACCAAGTGATGATAGCAAGGTTGAGATTTCTCTTAAAGGTATCCATGAAAATCGAGTATTCGACGAACGAAAAGTAAAATTTACTGTTGGCGAGGGTTTCTTACAAAATATTCCCGAAGGGTTTGTAAATTTCAAAATTATGATAAAAAAATCTTCTAAATAATTTATTTTGTTCATTTGATTAATTGATTTTTTTTTGTCATTGATTTTTTAAAGCCTTGAACATGCTGTAACACGAATGACAAAAGGTGAAAATAGTCAATTAAAATTAAAATCAAAAGCAACAGCTGGTCTTGAAAAATTTAATATTCCAAAAAATGCTCATGTGGAATATATAGTTACATTGCACGATTTTGAAAAGGTCTGTTCTGACGCAGAAAAAAAAATCGAAACAAAAAAAACAATGTTTTTATCTTTGCTTTTACAGGGCGTAGATAAATGGTCAATGAGTGAGACAGAAAAACTTGAACAATCAGAAAAATTAAAAAAACGTGCTGCTGTATTATTTAAAGTAAGATTTTAAGTTGTGTAAAATATTTATTAGAATTTCTTACAACATTTTGCTTGCTTATCTGAATGAAATTACTCAATGTCAATAAATTTTGTAGATAGGTTTTTTTTCTTTTCTCATTGTATTTTTAGGAAGGTCATTATCGTATTGCTTGTAAAAAATATAAAACTATTGTTGAATATCTTAAATCAACAAATTATGAAAATGAAAAAGATAAAAATAAAGCTCACGAATTAAAATTAACAACACAAACAAATATGGCTTTATGTCATTTGAAATTAAATGAACATGCTGAATGTATTCGTGCCTGTGATGCAGCACTTGAATTAGATCCTAAAAATGAAAAATCATTTTTTCGTCGAGGACTCAGTGAAATGTCTATGTCAAGTTTTGATGAAGCTATAAAAGATTTTGAAGAAGTTCTTAAATTAAGTCCATCAAATGATGCAGTAAAACAACATATTCAAACATGTCAAGAAAAATTAAAATCTTATCATCAACAAGAAAAACAATTATATGCTAAAATATTTGCTAAAATGTCTAAAGAGAATGAAAAAGTATATTGTTTAAAATTAAAATTTATCCTATTTATATTAATTAATTTATTTTATTTTAGACTAATATTCAAACTACTAATGGTGAAACTAAAACAAATGAACAAAATAAAAATGAAAGTACAACTTCAAATTAGTTGAGTTTACTTTCCATTTTAATCTAGATTTGAAACAAAATTTACAAAAAACAAAAAGTCATTTAACGGTTTACTCTCAGTAAATAATCGTGATATTTAAACGTTAGCTCTTATTGTCTGTTTATTAAAAATAAAATAAATAAAAACAAAAAGACAAAAATATTATATTTGTTTAATTAAGCGAAAACACTACTGAGAACAACAACGAGACAGTATACAATTATATCAAAAGCAAGAAATATATAATTCATTTTTCCTTGTTTTTTCTTCAAAACTAAAATAATGATCATAAGTATACTTACAATAGCTCGGGAAACACTTAAAGTTTGGTAAGCTCTTACATTAGTTGAGTTTACTAATATGAATAATGAACCCAACATTTGCTGTAGCCTATATTTCACGAATAGAACAGATGAATTAATTGCTGATTTATGATGTTTTTGGATGCTGTATAAACAATACAACAGAAAACAGATGAAAGAAGAATACCTGACTAATATGAATTGATATACAAAAGAGTCATTTTGTGGTATATCATATATATATATATATAAAGCTTTTTAGATGATCATGAATGAATTGTTGAGAAATAAATATTAGATCATAAAATATTTTAGTTAAAGCATAGCCTAATGCTTATGAATTGAATCATTTAATCAATTAAGACACATCTCGGGTAATGTATTTATTGATTTGATAAAAAAAAAAAAATAATATGGCACTCATAGTAGCTAATATAATTGATGCATAATTCACTGCTAATTTTATTGACGTAGCTAGAATTTATGTCATACCACCAAATATACTAAAATGACTACTAGCCCAACTCTTTATTCCTCAAATAAGTAAATCAAAAGCAAGACCAAATGTTTTAATAGAAAATACTGCAAAAAGATTTTTTGCTGTTCATAAAACACTTAAATATATATATATATGTTTCAATATTGAAACAAATTACAAAACTTTCATACCTACAATAAGGACGAATGTATTGAAATGTTGTTTATTTATTTTAAAACAATCAACAAATAGGATGAACAAAATAAACAGCAATACGAAAAATCAATAGATAGAAAATTTGATCGAAAAACTTAATGCAATTAAATATCTAATAAAGCAAGTCCAAATCACTATTGATATATCAACAATTATTTAGAATAATTGTCACATTTTTTTTTTGTAATTGTAAAAAATACTTTTTCAATTAGTCATCTTATTTAATATTACTATAACAAATTATTCAATAATAAACAGATAAAAAAAAACATGACATAACAACAAGATCATATCTTTATACTATTTCTATTTCAGACTGACCTACGGATGCATTTATGTTGAAGATTCACGTAAAATTACAATGAAAAGATAAATGATTATATATTATAATGTTTGCAATTTTCTATTAAAATGGTTCTTTTTATTTTACATGTTTTTCACTAATAAAAGACAACAACAATTGACAAATATACATAAACACGTTCGTGTCACTCAAGAGACTCAAGTACTGCATTGTTGTTTTTCATTATTCTTGTGATAGAAAGATATTAGAATCCGTTTTTTACATTCTTATGTTTACACTATATTCAATTTTGTTTCATACATATATATTTTTAAATTAAATCTTTTTTTATAATCTAATGAAAAAATTATTTTGTTCCTTTCAAATCTCATGATAAATTCTTTATTTATTAATTCTTCAGAAAAATGATATATACTCAAGTAATACAATTTTTATGCTAGTGAATCATTATTACATTCAATGATGAAATAACACTTATATTAATGATAATAGAAAAAAATCTTTTGATGTTTATCGGAACAATAATATATAATCAATCTGATACAGTTGAAGATTCTCAAAAAAAAACAAATACTTCTATATTTTATATTTGCACATAGGATAACTATATATGTTGCAAAAAAAAAGTTCTATTATAAACATCTTTTCAGAATCTATTTGTAAGTAGCCTCATGAATTCTATAAATCACCCGCTATGCTCCAAGTGTCTTGTCTTATTCATTTTGATATAAACATCTTATAGAGCGTATCAACCTTCAAATATCATCAGACAAACGACGGCATACACAGCATGTCTGCTTGTTACTTCTATATTCATTCATGTGTTTTGTTTTCTTTCAAGAAGCAAACGTGTGAACAATGCTGTTCTATTGCTCAGTATATATCTTAATATAAACGCATGCGTACACCACACGACTGAGAAGTGGACATGTTTGTCTAGTGGGAATAGATGTTGTTGATGATGATTATGATCCTATCAGTGAACAATTAACCATCATCATTGATGATTGACTTCAATCTCTCCATTGTCCAAAGTATACAATCAAATAAATAATAAAGATGAACAACATCTTTGAACTTGTGTCTGATATTCTTCTTTTATTCTTTCTTTACACAAAAAGAAAAAAAAGACTCAATTTATCATCGATCATCATCATCCAATTTTACTTGTTTCTAGATAATTGCCAGTTGAATTGAACACTTGACAAAGACATTGAAACTCAAGAGAAAAAAAATATTCTTCTTTACTTTTTCTTTCAGGTAGCCGATAGAGATAAGCAAAATGCATAACATCTGTTGGTTTTTTTTTTTTGACTTTTTTTTTTCTCTTTAAATACACAGACACACGAACACACAGAGACAATCCACCACTGTTCCACTGACATATAATGACGCAACAAACAAAAGAAAAAAAAATGTATCGATATTTACATGCCACCCAATGCTACACTATGTTCACGAGCTTTAAGACGTAATGCAGCAATTGAGGTACTTCGATGATCAGGATTAAGATTATATCCAGTATATGGACATGGATTGAAATTATTTGTTGAATGAGATGTTTGTTGTGGTGGGGGTGGTGGTGGAAATGCATAAGGCATACCCATAAAATTTGGTATTGCACTTGACATCATCATGGACG